TTGAATATGATTGGTTCTTGTCTTTAGTTCCTTGCAAATCTAAATACATACCAATTAAATGAAAGAATCTTACAAAAGTAGCAAAACTGCTTCTTTTTGCTTAAACTTAGCCATGTAATTAACAGCTTACACAACTATCTTTGTTCACTTACTTGTTTATGTACATCCGTTGGTTCAAAATCGCCGTATCCTTCCCAGAATAGTTGTCTATTTCTCTCCTCAAAAAATCTTATTTGTATATCATCTTTTGCGACTTTTTCACATAGTAAAATCATTTTCATGCCACCAGCAATCGTTGCGCTGCAATGGCTCAATTTGCAAATCTCAAGATCTAACATTCCCTCTGAAACAGCGTATATACGTCACAAGAAAAAAGGTTCAAAATTGCCTACGAACGTGTTGAACATTTAACTATGCCATTCGATAGTTTTATATTTTTTATATGGGAGTTGAAAATCTTAATGGACATAAGGTGTAAGTAAACATCAGTCGTTATGCGATGACAGACCAAACATTAAAAATACAATTCGTTAAAGAACATTCTCATTTCTTTCAGTATCGCTCTTCTTCTTTTTTTGTGTGGCCCTGATGCACACGGGATAAATGTGGCCACACTATTCCCAAACTTTCAATCTTCCACATGTATAAAAAGCTGATGTATAAAAGAATAATAATTAGATCATAAAATTGATTTGAGAGATACCGAAACTGGGTAGAGGAATACGAAGTGCGTAACACGTCAGAAAAAAATTCCTGTTCAAGAAATTTTATAATATTCGGACCGAAGTGCGAAACCCATCCGACCGAATCATCAAACCAGACTTTTCAATGTCGATGTGTTGCAATAGAGTTGAGAGCTACCAAAAACTATAATATAATAGTGTGATAATGTAATATACTTGAATGTACGTTTGTTTGGGTCAATGTGTTTTTTCGAAGCTCGTCATTGCTGTTTTACGCAATGCAGTTAATGATACACAATGTTGTTATCAAATGATCTTTATATGTAAAGATGTAAAGAATATAAATTGGCCCGAGGCGGACGAGAGAGTATCGAAAATTCGAGTATCGAAACGATTTTTCGCAAAGCAGCGTAGAATAAAGAATAACTGAAAGAAAAGAGAGGCAATTCATTGCAGGGAAAACGGTTTTATACTGATAGAAACAAACCTATTCATGTCATAGACATACATTTTTTCTGTTTGTTGCAAAATAACAAGGATCCGGCAAAAGTTCTAATTCTACACATTTCGACTTATTTTTGGCCCGTAATTCCTTGCGGCCATGAAAGGTTGCAATGGTCAAATATATTTACATGCTTCTGATAATGTATCACATTTGAATATACATACGTTCGCTTAGGACAATGAGGCTTTTCTTGGTTGCAGCACTCGTTATTGTTAGTTTCCGCATTGCAAATTAACGTACACAATGTTGATACCACAGATACCACAGATTTTATTAATGTGTGACGTTTTATCAAATGGCATTATGAAATTTTTGTGCACGACAGAATCCGGAAAGATTTATTAACCCCTGTATACAACATTTTATATAACATATGCACTGCAAGCCAATTTGGAAATAGATGGAGATAAATTATATAAATCCGATAAGATCTTTTAACTCCTATATTGTATAAAATAACGTATGCAGATCATAAGTTTGGAAATACCAATGCAGATAAATTATATAACTCACACTGAAGCAAAAACAAAGATAAATTGTGATTTTGGT